ATTATATAATATATATAATATATAAGAAAAGTGATGATGAAAAACATCAAACTCTATAGGTAAATCGATTCAAAGAAGAATGAATTTTATTGTTGACCCCAAGAGTGAGAACTCCCTGGCTAATATGGTTTAAATGACTAATAATCTTATCATTTATAAGTGAACTATCACAGTAACTAAATATAATACCACGATTTATCTTTTATTTCTTTCAACTTTTTGCTTAAATGTAAATTAATTTTTATTATTGCAAAGTGAACTGACTTAACGAATATATCTTTGTTATACATCTCTGTAAATTGTGAATCTCATGATATTTATACTTGAGATTTGGACTTTTTGGTTCAACATTCCAAATTCTGGCCTCTCCTTAGCCAGGGAGTTCTTACTCCTGAAGCCGATAATAAAATCCATTCTTCTCTGAATCGATTTATCCATATAATTTGATACTTTTCATCATTACTTTGGAACATTCTGAAGATAGTTCAAATAAAGAATCGAAACGTTAAGTGAACTACATGGTATAAAAATTTGTTTCTGGAGACTGTCTTGGCGCTAAACTACGCGCAGCCGGCAGCGACACTGCCGTGGCTATTTTACGCGAGGTGGCGAGTTGCGCCAAATCGAGATTATCGGATCTTAATAAGGGTTGAATCAATCAAGTTCTAAGTGTGCTCGATTGCAACTGTTCGGGATATATAATAAATATAATATTGAAGTGTGTGATAGTCTATAAAGTAATAAATATACTATACATGATAATATTATATAATATTAGTCAATTACATTAATAACATATCTTATAAAAATGTAGATGTAATAATAAAAATTTTATTCTGGCGTCGCCGAAGAAATAAATTAAATATGGCATTCAACGTATTAAATAGTACTGAATGAATCGATAATTTCATCACTTACTACTGGCGGAGTCAGTAATTTTTTCAGATCGACCTTGTTGCTCTCAGTTTCTTCCTTGGTAATTAATCGCAAAAGTTGAGTGGCCGCCTTGTGTTCGGCTGGTAACAGATTAGGGCTGTAATTGATATCTTCCAGGAACTCTATAGTCAGGGTCTTCAATTTCTGATCCATTTCGAAGTCCTGAGCATGCTTGGATACCCAGTGTCTCAGGACGTTTAGCACCCTCATAGTTGCGGCGGTCGACATTACCGATTCCTTCCGCCTATTCTTATCTCGGCCACGATTGTTACCGTCAGTGGCAGGCCCTTTGTCTGGTGGATTACTCGAAGCAGAAGTTGCGATAGCAAATGCGGTCGCCGCCGTGGACGTGCTGCTCCTAAATTCGAGACCAATTTTATTAATAATATTGATGATCATAGTAAAAATTTAAAAAAATCGGAGTCTTAGTTGTTGAATTATGATTTTTCTTCATTTCGACTTGTCTAAGCGTTCACTCTACGTTGCGTTAAGAGCTTCTATCGCTTTAACCCGCCGGTCAGATTTTTTGCGATATATTTTAAAGCATGCTACTGTGCTGAAGGAACGGCACAAGGAAAGATTCAGTGATTGGCTATTTTTCTATTTTTTAAAATAATATTGACTATATTATATCATAATAAGCATGATTTAAACGAATAGAATCTAATGTGCATTTCGATTTTGCAAAAGAAGTTTTAAGATATCGAAAAATCAACGGTGTAAATTTTTATTTGCTATTTTTTATTATTGTGTTGCTACAAAGTATATACTTGGAATAAAGATTGTATTGTAACTGGCATAGTTTCGGTAAGTTCAAGTTTCGATGCTATAAATACGAAATAATGCATTTAACATTATAACTGTGCTGAAGAAATTGCAGCACGAAAAAAGATCAAGTGATTGTTTATTTTTCTAGTTTTTAAAAACAATATTTGATTACATATGTAGTAAACATCATGAATGATTTAAGCAAATAGAGTTTAATGAACCTCGATTTTGCAAAAAAGTTTTGAAATATCGACAAGTTAGCGGTGTAGATTTTTATTTGTTATTTTTATTACTGAGTCACTGAATAAAGTACATATTAGGTGTGGGAAAAAGTTCGTGGCGTTTTTCCCATTAGATGGCATTAAAAAAACGCCACGAACTTTTTCCCATACCTAGTATTTGGAATAAGGATTGTAATTGGCATAATTTAAACGAATTCAAGTATTGATGCTATAAATACGAAATAATGTAGGTATCTAATATTATGGGTTACATTAAAGAAACCAATAAAATCTCAATTATTTTATTTTATTCTTAAAAATAATGCTTAATTATATATTATATCATGTAATAAGTTAATATAATAAATAAATAAATAAAAATAAATCTCAAAAGCAGATCGGGATTTACAAGAATTATTACCTAAATCATTCTTTGGAATATCCTGCGTTATAAGCACGCAAATGACACAAGCGACTAAAAACTATTTCTATTTCGTTTGGTGATTGTTTCGTTCACTATGGTGCATTTTCTAAACGATGAAGAGATAGATTCAGAATTGAATCGTGTGTAAGCGAATAGCCATAGTTAATAAGGAAAGTAAGGGAAGAGAGACACATTTAGGATTACATTACGATTAATTTTCAGAATCAATAGCTAATTATTCCAACAAACCATAAATCTAATAATAGAATAGAGCAAAGGACAGACATTTTAGGTTTTATTTTTTAATGATGCTGTAAGCAGGAGGATTGCAGCCATGCTACACGGAATAAGTGGATAATGACGCTTTTCAAAATGAGCCCACTTACCAGATAGATTCAGCTCCAATGCTATGAATGACACAAAACAATACATGAAACGGTTGAGTAGAAACAGCAGCAGGAGTATCTTCTTGATCTAAGGGTTCTCATTTAATTTGATCTTCAAGACGGTGATAAAAATATAATTTATCGAGCAAAAGTGGAATAAAATCTTGAATTGGGTGATAATTTTTTGCATTATCATTATTATAAGCAATTTTATTTATCGATTATAAAGGAAATAGAAATATTAAGATATTTACAAGTTTGAAAAGCATATATTGCATTAAAATGACTTCTAAATTATTTATAAAACGGTTTTCATAATACAGGCATAACAAATTTAATGTATTTACAATATATTTACAATTTTTTCAATAAATAAATACAACTCAAATATAATCAGAAATTTTGCATTATATTGAAAACATAAATGTTTTACATCAATGTTGCAAATGTTTGCAATTTGATTTTAAAACATAAATTTTTGCAGTGTGGGAGAAATTATATGTTAATTTTAAGTTATTTACTATCTTATGGACTAAACTGTCAGAAAAAATGCCGAATAATATTTATACGACATTATAATCTTTAAAATTCTCTCCTTATCAATTTCTCCCTCTAAGAATAATTTTAATTATAACTCTGATAAATGAAATATGATATCGAGAAAAAGCTCTCATGCGTTAGAAGGCGGAGACTGCCATTTACGGTACTCAACATTCAGCAAGAACGAAATAGAGATAATTTTCATCGATACGAATGTCTTCGAAAGTTTTAGAGACACGATAGAATGCATATAATAAAGTTATAAAAACGAACCTTCGATGACTCTGTCGAAAGCTGGTTATTACCACACCGGCCTTACTGGAAACCTGAGCATCGTGATAGCTGCTCTGCTGCGAGATCTCATCATGCATTGATCGTCTATTTACCCAATAATTCTGCAAATTTCGAAAAAAATTAAGATCCATAATTTTTTTATACAGGAAAGAATTTATTAATTCTGTTATCATATAAATAATAAACTTTTGCTTTAATATAAATTCTTTTTTTTTAATATTTTAAAGCTAGAATGTCTCCTAATTCTTGATTTGAAGAAAAATATTGTATATCATAACTTTTTTTCCTGAAGAAAGTATAAACAAAATATAATTATTAAAAAAGATATATAGTGAATAAGGTCCTTATTAATAGCGCATATTTCGTTTCTCATCTCAAAAATAATAACTTATATTTGTAATGGAGAGAAAAAATATTTTATATGACAACAAAAAATTACTCAGAATTAAAAGTAAAGTTACATCTTCTTATAATTAAAAATAAAAAATTAATTAAAAATTTTGGCGGGTTTTAGACCATCTCTCATCTTTAAACGCACGATTAAACAAACAGTATTTCGATTATTATATAAATTATCATTTCAGAAATTCATAAATATTTAATGATTAAAGGGATATTTTATTTCCGATTATTTTATTTTATTAAATTCAAAGAAATTTTAATATTTTGTTATTTATACATACACCAGTTATAGTGGAAACCGAACCGCTCCTTGGTCCGGTGGCGGCTGGCGCAGAAGCGATCGATGCCCTATGCTCCGAATACTGCTGTTGATTCTGCTGTGCTGATTGATTGTTTGGTTTTGGAGAAGTTATACTTTCATCATCATCGGTACTTTGCTCATCTTTACTCTCCTTTATCAGCAGAGAGACAAGCGGTTTTGGAGATTTTGGCGTCTTAGGAGTGGTAGGTGTCTTGGGTGTCTTGGGTATCTTCGGCGATTTGGGCTTGATAGGCTCAACTGATTGTGATGGTGATGGTATGTCGTCATAAGTAAATTGTACTATAATTTATTTTGTAATATGTATTATACAGGGTATTTCAATAACTATTATTTTAAATATCTTCGAATCTATAAGGTTTAGATGTGATGAAAAATTGTTTTAATCAAAATTGCACAGTACAAAGAGGGCTATCACTCAATGACAATAATATTTTTTTGTCTCTAGGTGGAGGCACTTTGGAAATTTCAAAATCAACTTCGTTTTTTTTAATGAAATTATATGATTTTTTTAATAATAATAAGGTTCTTCTAATTATATTTTGCCTATATAGATATCAAAAAATTTATAATATAATAGTTATATAATATAATATATAATATAATAGTATATAATAGTATATAATATAATAGTTTACGAGATATTTTATATTTTTTCTTTATTCTGGAACATATTGATATGAAATATTAAACATCTCGTAAACTATTCATTTTTTTATAACTATATATTAATATTTTTATAAACTTAATATTTTTATAAACAAATTAATGAGATGAATCAACTGATGAAAAAAAACACATAATTTCTTGTTTAAAAGATAATTCATCTATTTTGTCTATATATTCATATTCTTTTAAAAGCAATATATATGTTTTCTTTCCGTATCTTGATACATCTGCTTATAAAAATGTTAAAGTTCAATTACACAGGCCGACATGAATTATGATATGATAGTATATAATCCAGAAACGAGTAGTAATCCCAAGCATTCTAAAACCAAATTCGTAACTCAAATTGCTCCATCACGTCAAATTTCCGAGATATTCGGAAAAAGTAACAATGCTAAAGAGGCCTATTTTGGGCACCTTTAGGTTAAAATTTCTCGTAAACGTGATGTGAGAGATATAGACTGCGGATTCGAATTCAGCATTAAAAAAATCTACGAAAATCACCTATAATTGTATATAGGGTATAAAAAATATCGGGACGGCAAAATATCTTGAAAGCTAAACATTTTAGGAAAAAATCAGATAAAAGTTGTAGTGTTTTAAAAGATCTATTTACTAGAGTAATGAGTTTGACTTTAGGTGATATTGCCAAGGTGTTCGATCGACGGCTAAAACCTCTTGAATGTTGTTTAGAATTATATTCTGGATAACATTTGTCAAGATCAAAGTCATTAGTTAAATCTCTTATTCTTTCCATTTTTACAAATATTTTGTGGTGCAAAAATAAAAATAAGAGGTACATTCTCCAGTGACTTTGAAAAAACTCGTAACAAATATTATTTAGAACATGATCCTAAACAACATTCAACAAGTTTTAACCGTCAGTCGAACCTTGCATAATGCTAATGCCGACGGTAACTTTCAAGTCTTATAACTCGAAAAGTATTTAATGAAAAATAACTTTATTTAGTGTTTTGAAAAGTTCTTGATCATCAGCTATTAGATTCTGGCATCAAAAATAGGGCGTTCCATTTAAAAAAAATCAATTTGATCTTGATTTGACCGTGGCAATATCATCTAAGGTCAAAGATTCATTACGCCAGTAAATAGATCTTTTAGAATCTTACAACTTTTATCTGAAACGCTTTTTCTTAAAATGCTTAGTTTTCGAGATATTTCGCCATCCCAGTACTTTTTATACACCCTATATGTATATGATGATCAGAACAGTAAAATAAAAAAATAGATATATTGCAAGAGAGTATGTTTATCAATCTTAAGGAGATCCTAAAGTGAAGCCCAAACTTCGAGATCGCTGTTTTATCGATAAAATGCGACACATCGTCATATTTTTATATACTACTACATCAATATCGCGCGCGCGCGCACG